GCCTCTTCCCAGGGCCGCGGGGAGCGTTCCTGGAGAGCGTGGCCACGGCCGCCCCGTCCAGAGACGAGGTCCTGAGTGAGGGCGGGCGGGGGCCCCCGGGCTCTGCCTGGCTGTCCTCTGGAACCACCTCCGAGCCCCAGCCCACTGTGCAGGGTGGGCCCCCGTGGGGCGCGGCCGGCCCCTCTGGGACCCTCCCACTGAAGAGCTGGCTGTGCCTGCGGATCAGGACGGTCATCAGGTGCTGGACGAGAGACGTGCCTGCCAGGAAGACGGAACAAAGGCCTGGCTGTGGGCGCTCCAGGCTGGGCTCTGGGCGCTGCGGCTGGGACCCAGGGGGCAGGCTGTCCCTCAAGAGAGGGACAGCCATCCTCCAAACCCAGGCCCAGACAGAGGGGCTCCCCTGCTTTCATATTGAGATTTGGCCTTAATGTTTCATTCCACTGGATTATTTATTGTAAAAACATTTACATTTTAAGGTATGTCAGAACCTTTTTGTTGCTAGACAGAGTAAAACTTATCAAGTTGCAGGCACCGTGCCCAGTAAGGCGGCGAGGTACGCTCCTGGCAGGCGGGGCTGGAAGCCAGAACCTGCGCGTCAGAGCTGCCCCATGTCACCCTGTGCTGCCGAGGGTGCGAGGGCCTGACCATCCACGCTCTCGGGCACAGGCTCTGGCACAGGCCGGGGATGTCTCCCAGGTTACGTGGGCACCCCCTCCCCACACCCTCACACCGGTTACCTTCCATGATGGTCACTGGGTCTTCTATCTGTGGCCGAAGTATATTAGGTCCAAAAACGGTTGCCAGGTTCTGGACGCTCATCTTGTTGACATTGGAGTGGGACTGAACTTCATCCAGAAACCTGTGGGTGAGGAAGGGGCCGTGGGTGGAGAAGCAAATCCTGCGCCAGCTGTGCTGGGAGCTGCCTGGCGCCCACACCCAGCCACGCCCACATTCCCAGGGCCAAGGGCACAGCCAGCTGCCCCTGCCCGCTCAGAGAGGGCAGAGCTTCCCCGGGGGCCCGGGGTGGGGGGCAGCAGAAGCAAAAGCCAGTGGTTGTCAGCATGGAAGGGGGACACACGACTGTCCCGCCTGCAGTTGGGGCAGAGGTCTGGGAGGGCCCAGGCCCCCACCCTGCACACCCGCTCCCAGCACCTGAGCTGGGGTCATGGTCTGGAGGCAGCCTCCTGGGGCAGGGACTGCGAGAGGCACTGAGAGGAGGCAGAAAGCCCGGGGCCGTCCCATTCTTTCCAATGGACTTTCCCTGCGGATCGCAGGACTTTACGCTGCCTGCCCCGTGGAGGCTGTCCGCTGGGTGTGCCGGGCTGATCTCCAAGGTCCCTGTTGGCTGACTGACGTTCAGGGAGCAGAGTGGGTGGAAGAAGGCCCAGCCCTGCCTGCCCCAGCCACTTACTTGCAGATATAACTGAGCAGGTTGTAATTGGCCAGGGGAAGGCTGCTCACTTGCTCAGCCAACTCCAGAGTCCCCTTGGTGTTGGGAGAGAAAAACAGCATTTCTGAGACCAGCAGCTGGCCCTTCTCTCTCCCGAGGCAGGGACAGAGAGGTGGGCAGGGAGGTGGGCAAGGAGGAGGGAGGTGGGGAGGGGGCGGCAGGCACCAGAGGCCAGACCTCCAGCCACCCATTTGGCCTCTGGGTGACCAGAGGGCACCACCACCTCCACCTCCCTCCAAGGAGCAGGCGCGAGGAGCAGCCGGCCTGTGACCTCCTGGAGGAATGTCAGGGCCAGTGCTTATTGAGACACAAATATTTGCCAGATAAAGACCCCTCATCTCCCACACAGCCACAGGGAGGCAAACAGCCCTTCCCCTGGCAGGCACCTGCAGAGGGGGCAGGAGCCTCTTCCCCACGTGAACTCTTTAGGAAGGGGCAGGTGCGAACAGGGGAAGGTCTGCTTGTTTCTGGCCGCTGGGGCCACCTGGGCAGTGCAGGTAAGTGCAGGGTTAGTACCTACTGTGTGGTGTCCTGGGGCATGACCAGAATATGGCCCCGTGCCCCGCGCCCCGCCCCCAGACCCAGGCCTCACAGGGAGGGCCTCCCAGAGGGGATGCTCCAGCCCCGCCCCAGCAGGATTCTGCAGACTGCGCCCCACACAGGACAGAGGAGTCTGCCTCCCCCAGAGGGTTCTCCTGCCCTCCAGCCCCCACCCCACCCAACACAGAGCAAACTGCAGGCGGCATCTCTGTGCCACAAAATGATGACGGTCAGAGTTCTGTGTCCTGACTCCACACACACACCCCTCCCTCGCAGGCCCACCTCCCAGGGCGAGTCCTCGGGAGCCACTAACCTCCCCCTCGTCCTTGGTGAGCAGCTGGGCGCAGCTGAGGAAGTCCTCGTACCTGGCGAAAGGGACCACGGGCTCGGGCAGCTCCCGCAGGTAGAGCTTCAGCAGGGAGGCCACCGTGTGCACATCTGTTGTGCTGCCAGAGGGGAACACGCGAGAGGCATGGGGCCAGGGGACTGCAGGAGTGGCCAGCACAGGCCTCCCAGGAGCAGCCTCTGCTCCCATGCCTGGCATGTGTGCGCGCATGTGCACAAAAGAGACACAGAGGGGTGGGGAGGGGGCAAGGAGCCAGGGACACAGCTGTCCTTGCCCAAGCCTGAGAGTGCCCATCCCCCACTTGCCCTCCATTAGAGAGAGTGGAAGGGAGGGGGAGAGACAGAGAGAAACATTGATGGAGGGGGAGGGCCATGTCAAAGAGTGCAGGCCCAGGGCACTGGCCAGGAGGGTGTGCAGGTCAGAGGTCAGACCCCTGCCCCTGACCTCAGGGTTCCGCTCACACAATGGACGTCTGGGCTTCTGTGCTCCTCACCCTATCTCCAGCACCCCAGCGCCCCAGCACCCCACATGTCCACTCCCAGTCCTCCGTCTTCCAGCTCAGAGCTGCCCAGGCTGAGGGGGCCCCGTGGAGGGCAGCGGCCTGGGCTCTGGGATCCGGTCCTGGTCCTAGTCTTGGCAAGCAAAGTGTTTGCTGCGTCTACTTGTTAGCCATCTGTGCTGGCCCCTGGAGGGCGGGACCTTGTCCGTCTAGTTCTGGCCACACCCTACGCCTGCAGGGCGCTCATTGGGTGAGTAAAGAACCAGAGTGAAGTAAGAAAGGGCCAAGGCGAGAGTTAGGGGAGCCAGCAGGTGTGGCTCAAAGCAGCCTGGGCAGCAGGGGGCAGGCCTGGGAGAGCTGCCCCGGCCCAGGCCCAGGGTGCGGGGGAGGGGAGGGGGGAGGCTGGGTAGGAGCCAGCTCTGGTGAGGAGGCTTCCAGGCTTCTGGGCTCTTTATGGAACAGGGAGCCCAGGACCTGGGGCGGACGTTCCTCATGCAGACAATGAGTGTGGTTTGTGCTTAGGGAGCGAGCCTCTCTGGAAAGCCTGGCCCCGCAGGCGGTGAGGGGAGTTGCTGCTGGACCCCTCTGCTGGGGAGTGAATGAGGAGAGGAGCCTTGGGACCTACACAGGGGGTGGGTACAGATGCAGGGCCAGAGCACCCACGGGGGGTGAGAAGGGGGAAGAATGGCGGCTGTGGGTGCAGATGCAGTTCTAGAAGGAAAAGCAGCCAGAGCCCAAGGCCCAGGGTGAGTCTCCAGGAATCACAGAAGGGGTAGTATTTACAGACATCTCCACCCATGCCCTGGACCACACAGACACAGGATGGAAGAGTCCTGGCAGGCAGAGGTTCAGAACGGACCACAAGTTCAGAGTATCCGGATGCAGCTCCAGCCCTAGCCGGTTTGGCTCAGTGATTACAGTGTTGGGTTGTGGGTTTGATTCCGGTCAAGGGCACATACCCTGGTTGCAGGCTTGATCCCTGGCCCCAGTCGGGGCATGTGCAGGAGGCAACCCATCAGTGTGTCTCTCTCACATCTCTGTTTCTCTCTGCTTCGCCCCCTCACTTGCACTCTCTCAAAAAACCAATGGGAGCTGAAACCAGTTTGGCTCTGGATAGAGCGTCGGCCTGCGGACTGAAGGGTCCTGGGTTTGATTCCGGTCAGGGGCGTGTGCCTGGGTTTCGGGCACATCCCCAGGGAGGGTGCAGGAGGCAGCTGATCGATGTTTCTCTCTCATCAGTGTTTCTGGCTCTCTGTCTCTCTCCCTTCCTCTCTGTAAGAAATCCCTCCCTTCCTCAATAAAATATATTTTTAAAAAATGGGAAAATGGATTAACAAAATAAAAATGAGGCTCCTGGTGAGAGGATCCTGTGCCTCCTGGGCAGACCCCGTTGGGGAACGGTGGCCAGGCTCCACATCTGCAGAAAGGAGCTGACGCGGTGACGGGTCTGGGCAAAAGCTGGAGGGCGGGGCGTTCTGCCCCAGAAGGAGGCCAGGGAGGCCCCAGTTGCCGGCAAAAACCCGTGGACCTATCCTGGGGCCGAGGGGGCAGCATCGTGAAGGCAGATCCACGGAGAAAGGGCAGGAGGAACTCCCCAGGGACAACTGTCCTGATGGGTCGGCTCCTTTCAGAGAGGAGATGCCACACAGCCCCATCGCCCCTGTTCTCAGCCACTGGCTCTGAGTGAGGCTGACTCCACCCAGAGGGTGGACCCTGGGCCCTGTGAGCCCCAGCGATGGCGTAGGATGGGCGCTGGCCAGGACAGGTGGGGCAGGCTCGCTCCCCATCCAGGAACCTGATAGGATGGGGAGCCACAGCGACTGCTCCGTGTTGGCACTGGAGGAGCTCTGCGGGTCACGGGAGGAAGCAGCCAGGGACAGACAACCCCAGGGCCTCAGTCCCGATGCAGCGAGGCCCTGCCTTTCGGCCTGGGTCGCGTTGAGGGGCAAAGGGAAGAGCCTGGTGGATGTGAGTGGCCTGGTCTGTGGCAGGACCGCCCCTGAGAGGAGACCGAGGGCTGCTGCGGGGTTGGGGGCTGTGCTCTGCCCGCAGGGGGGCTGGCCGGGCGCACATGCACCCACGCACGGAACCATCCTGCCCACCAGCCTGCTGCCAGGCTTCCTGGCACCAGCCCACCCTGCCATGGGAGAAGGGGCGGGGCCCCATCTTCGTACCTCCCCCAGGAGCTCACCTGTCAAACAGCGGCTTCTCCCCACAGTCAAAGGCGTCCTGCAGGTCCCGCACCAGGTTGGCCTGGCCGGGCAGGCGGAAGAGCCCCTCCTCGCTGAGCCCACGCGCCCGGATGAAGTCCACGCACTGCTCCACCAGCAGGGGCGCCAGGCGCGGGCCATACTTCCGCTCGTGGTGCACTGTGTCCTCCAGGCGCTGCCCGAAGATCCCTGGGCACAGGGAGGACCCGGTCACACGCTCAGCTGGCCAGCTTAGTGGTGAGAGGGGGCTCTGGGGACAGCGGAAGGCAGGGCGCCGTCCGGGCCAAAGGCGGCTGCTCTGAGGGAGTAGGTTAGAAACTGAGGGCACATCCGGGCCACCGGGAGAGGGAGCAGGAGGGCGCGGTGGACAGGTGGCCTGCCCTGTCCTGTGGGGCTCCTAGCAGCCTGAGGAAGCTCTGAAGGGCCCTCAGGGAAGATGCATCATGCACTTTATTGATTGTTTTACTTAGGCAACACTAACGTCCAAAGAGGCGTGGCTTACATTTAAAAAACAAGGCTGTGTCACCAAAAGTCCTGCTCTAGAATGTCCTGAGCAGCACTCCTTGCAATCCCTCCAATGGGAACCCACCCAATGGCCATCAGCAGTGGAATGAGCAGAGACTTCACAGTCCGCTCACACGGCCCTGACACCAGGGAGCAATGCGCACAGATGGGCAGAGCTCACACGACAAGACACACAGCACATTCATATGAAAACAAAACCATGACTCAACATCACGGCCATCAAGGCAACACAAGTCAGAACCACAGTGAGGTGCCGCCTCACACCCACCAGGAGGGCTCCTATTTAAAAAACAGGAAATTACAAATGTTGGCAAGGATGCAGAGAAGCTGGGACCCTCGTGTCCTGTGGGTGAGAGTGTAAAATGGTGCAGCTTCTCTGCGGGACATTTTGGAGGTTCCTCAAAAAGTTAAAACAGAATTACCACATGACCCAGCAATCGCCCTTCTAGGTCTGCACACAACATAACTAACTGGGAGTGAACTTGCACATATATCATTACACCATGTTCATAGTAGCAGCATTCACAATGGCCCAGGGAAGCACCCCAAGTGTCTACCAGCAGATGAGGGATAAACAAGATGTGGTCTGTGCTTATAATGGAATATTGCCCAGCCTTCCCCGAGGGCAGGTCTAGCGGTGTGCCCGAGCACCGGTCACAGCTCCATTCTGCACAGGCAGTTCTCTGGTCATTAAGAGACACAGCCCAGCAGGCTTCCCCAGAACCGGATGGCGAGCCAGCAGGTAAGAGGTTCAACCCCTCCCCTGGCACTCAGCAGGGGCAGGACTCGGTGAGCCTAATGTCTGCCCCCACACAACGGGTATTATAAGATACATCAGTTCAAGCAGGGCTCAGCAAATGTTCCTTCTCACCCTGCTCCAGCCTGAGACAAAGCACACATACCCTTTGAGAAAACGTGCTCACATGGAGTGTGCCTGACAATGCCACCAAAGCTTTGGGAAGAAGTGTGTGTGTGTACATGCATGTGCATGCGGACTGTTGTGCACACATGTGCATGTGGATTTGTGTGTGCACGCATGCGCATGTGGACTGTGTGTGCATGCATGTGCAGGTGGACTTGTATGTGCATGCATGTGCACGTGGACTTCTCTGTGTGCATGTACATGTGAACTTGTGTGTGCGTGTGAATTTGTGTGTACACATATGTGCATGTGGACTGTATGTGCATGTGGACTTGTGTGTGCGTGTGATTCCCTAACGGCAGCACTGGTGGAGTTCAGTGGCACCCGTGCCCTTTGAGAGCCTGGGCACTTGCTCCTTCTCCACGGTCCCCGTCACACCCAGCCCACATCGTCCTTGTGTGGTTTTGCTGGGTGGTCACCTCTTCTGCTTTGACCTGTGGGGCACAGGTGTCTCCCAAGGGCACTGGGGTCAGGGCCTTAAAGGGACAGTCAGAGGACATAGAGGGGGAGCTGCCATGAACACGGGGTCCCTGAGAGGAGAGGGCACGAGCCTGGCATTGCACCCTCCATGCCTGCTGTCTGCTCTGGCCCAGGCCCTTGCACCTGGGCTCTCCCCACCATGTGAGGGTCCTGTCCTGCCGCCTGCTTTCCTGCTGCCTGGTCCACGCGGAGCCCGGTGCCTCTCCAGCCTCGCTCTTTCCTCTAGCCCAGGGGTGGGCAAACTTTTTGACTCGAGGGCCACAATGGGTTCTTAAACTGGACCGGAGGCCGGAACAAAAGCATGGATGGAGTGTTTGTGTGAACTAATATAAATTCAAAGTAAACATCATGACATAAAAGGGTACGGCCTTTTTTTTTTTTTAGTTTTATTCATTTCAAACGGGCCGGAGCCAGCCCGCGGGCCGTAGTTTGCCCACGGCTGCTCTAGAGCCTGAGATTTCTTATTAGCCTGGGGACAGTTCAGAAGCCCTTCCTGTGTGAGCTGTCCCAATGCCCCCTTCAGCGCCACCACCGTCTCACACTGTCCCCGCCGCCCATCACAGCTGACACGAAGACACTCGCCTCTGCCCAGTTCCTCACAGGGGCCTCCCTCTCCCAAGTCGGAGCTGCTGGGCTCAGAGCAGAGGTCAATGGCGCTGAGGGAAGAACGGACATTACTCAGCTCCACTCCCTCAGCCCTGAGCTGACGGAGGCCACCGTTAGGGGAAGGAGACAGAAAGACAATTCTACAGTTCTCTCCGGAGCTCCACAAACCTTGGGTAATTACACCCACCCTCTGCTTGGCCAGCCATCCTGCTCTGTCTCCTATCCCCTAGACAAGTGTCCTCTGTCTGTCCCTCTCTCCCTCCACACTTCCATTACTCTCACAGGTGGCCCCAGCCCTGTTAGGTGTTAGAGAGCCTCAGAGCTGCCCAGGGGACTCAGAACAAGGGAATCCTCCCAGGGCCTCCTCTGCTGGAAACCCTTTGCTGCCTCCCGCCTCCCCTACAACCACCCCCCCAAGATAAAGTTCAAACTGGACTGGCAGGCCAGGCCCTGCTCCACCCCCTCCCCCAGCCTCTGGGTGCAGAGCGGGGGCCAGACAGAAGGCAGCTGCCTCTGAGCCAGCCCCACTGTACATGGGCACCTGGGTTTCTGAAGGCCCTCCCACCTTGGCACAGCCAACACCTGCCCCAGGAAGCCTCGTGAGCACTCTCCTTGCCCCTGACAGGGCTGAGAGCCAGGAAAGGGATGCCCACAGGCCCTGGCTGGAAGGGGAATGTCACGAACAGAGGCTCAAAGGCAGACAGGGGAAGGGTCTGGTGAGGACCCAGGGTTGGCGAGTGGGCCTGAGGGATGGTGCTGGAAGGGGCGGGGAGAACAGCAGGCCCTGCCCTGGCAAGGACCATGGGCCTGATGAGCACTGACCCCACATGTAGCTCAGGGGCTCTTGGAAATGAGGGGCCTCTCCCAGAGACCCTCCAAGTGCTAGCCAGGCCAGGTGGGGACACAGGAAAAAGATGATGGTCAAGGCCAAAGGCCAAAGGCCATAAAGACAAAGATTCCGAGCCTACCTCTGCATTGGTCTAGGTGCAGATCCTGGCTAAGCAGTTGAGGAGCAGAGTGCCCCCCTTAACTGGGCCTCAGTTTTTCCACCTAGAAAATGGGGATGGTCATACCCGTCTTAAGGACCTGACCCTGGCACCACCAGGCCTTGGGACTGTGCCCACATCCCCAGCACAGCCAAGGGCGCCTGGCAAGAGACCTTGTGCAGGCTTCCCATGTGGCTGCCACCTGCCCCCTTGCAGGAGCTGCCTTGGGGAGCGCCAGGGGAAAGCCTCATTCCAGCCCAGCCGTCCAGGCTTCCTTCTCAACAATGCTCCCCCTGCAGCACCCTGGGCTCAGGCTACGTTCCTGGCCTCCCATGCCCAGAGGCCTTCCTGCCTTTCCCCTTGTCCTTGTCTCCTTGGCAGAGCCTGGTAGGGCCTGGAGCAGCTGCACGGGATTCCCTCAGCCCTCTTGGCACATCTGGGAGGGGTAGTACTGCCAAGAACCAGTTCCAGGAGGCTTGTCAGATCCCTGGAAACCGAGCCAGCACGCAGGTTCCTCGAGGTCCCAGCCCACGCGCTTCACAGCCCCTGGAGAGAACCTGGCAGAGGCTGCTTCTCCTCTGGGTGAACCTCCCGGCATGCCCGCTGCTCTCTGACAAAGCCTGGCCCCCACTGCCCTCTCCCCGGAACCCCATCAGGAGTGGACACCTACAAGCCGAGGCGGCTGGCTCAGATGGGGCCTGAGTGGCGTCCAGCTCTCTGAGCCTCCTCACTGCCACATCCGGGGGCTGTGAGCAGCCACAGGACAGCCCGAGGCAGGTGCTTGATAAGCATGGCCCTCCTCTGAGAGGGGCTGGCTCTGCCTGCCCCCACCCCAGCCTCCAGCCCCCAGCCCCCCAGAGAGGGAGACACTGGATTCCCTCTTATGGCTGATCCTGAGCAGAGACCTCGGCCCTGGTGACTCCAGCTGTGGAAGTTCACAGTCGCCGAAGACACAATGAGAAAAATAATTCTGAAATTCTCTCCAACGATCCACGAAGTTTGGGTGATCCCTTCTCCTCTCTTCTGCCTTCCCCAAGGCAGAGCCCTTCTCCCTGCATCCACCCACCGACTGGAAGGCCACCTTCCAGCTCTCACAGCTGTGCCACGTGCCAGGCCTGTGCCAGGTGCTGAAGCGCTCCGAGCGGCCCTGGGGGCTGTCCGTCCTCCCTGTGAACACCCTTCCCGGCCTCTTCCTGCCCAACAGGCCTCGCCAACCAACAGGCTGAAGTCAGCGCAGGAGAGAGAATCCCAGAGGCAAACATCAACT